AGAGTAAAGGATGGCGTCTCTCCTCAACCAAAACAAGAAAGCACACTCATAAAAACCCGTCCATATGATTTCGATTGTTCTCCTGATAAGTTTGATACAAACATGTCCAACCTTAGAACAAACCCGATGCCTTCAGCAGTTATCACTCCCTCTCCTGAAAAGCCTTTCACTTGGCTTACGGAGAGAGATTCTCAACCGTTCAGAGGCATGAAGCTGACTAGAAGTCAAAGTTGCAGAGCAAGCGTATTATCAAGTTCTTCCTCCTCTTGGTTTGAGAAAGAAGCTGATACACCGCCAAGCTCGTACGACAAAGAGTTTGTCAAAACAGCTAAGAGAAACTTGGCAATGTGTGACATCAAGAATGAGAGGTTGTTACAGGATGAGTTAACCAGGACGAGCATGCCAACAACTTGGTTCGAGAGAAGCTTGAGTGACACTGAAACAGCGCTTGCTGCTTCACATGGTGTCAGTAACGAAATGGCATCACCAAATGAATCACCGTCCCGGCCCTCTGATGCTTCTGTGTTTGAGCTCCAGACAAGTAGTAGAGCTTCAATAAGCGAGGAAAAAACAGAGGAGACTGCTGCTCAAAAAGACAAGCGAATCATTCATCGCTCGGTTAGTTTTGTTTACTCCGTTCAACCAAAAGTTGCTTTGCATTTGCTTAGTTTTTTTTTACTCCGTTCAACCAAAAGTTGCTTTGCATTTGCCTGATATCGTAAATCACCTAAAGTCCGTGTCATTTAACTGTCTTGTGGGCAGATGGAGGAAATAGAACTGAAGTTTTTGGCCATGAATTCGGCAAAGAGTTTCAAGGATGCGGCAATGGACCCAATACAAGACTACTTAGACACGCCTTTGAATTGGCCGGAGGAGTTCAAGAGGCTACAGAGGGAGATAATAGAGCTATGGCACGTGTGTAACGTTTCCATGGCCCACAGAAGCTACTTCTTCCTTCTGTTCAGAGGAGATCAGAAAGATTGCTTGTACTTGGAGGTAGAACTCCGTCGACTTAAGTACATCAGAGAATCTTTTGCCCAAAATAGCAAATCCAGCGAGGAAGGACACAATCTGACCCTAATCTCCAGGTAAAAAACTCGCATTGTTTTATCTCCTTTTTTTTCGGTATAAGCATAATGCACTGATGAATTCATAACGTAAATGTAAACAAGCAGCACGAGGGCGTTGACAAGGGAGAGGTATAAGCTGAGCAAGCTGATGCAGAGGAAACTGTCTCAAGGAGAAAGGGAGAACTTGTTCTTGAGATGGGGCATTGGGCTCAACACGAGGCATAGGCGGGTCCAGCTGGCGCACAAACTCTGGTCGGATTACAAGGACATGGGTCACGTCCGAGAGAGCGCCTCCCTCGTTGGTAAGCTCCATGGATTCGTGGACATGAATTTGACCTCCACGGAGATGCTTGGCATCAACTTTGCATTCAGACCACCTCGTCCCAAGAAATCTAGTCTTTGGAAACGCAGCGTTTTGTCCCTCTCCTTCTTGTAAATAAAGCACACCAAAAAAAAAAAAAAACAGGTTCACAATCCAAGCCGCAACCTTCCTTTATTTGATCTTGTTATCGTCTCCCCAAGTATTGAATTTGAAGCTGAAATTGCTTCAGCGATTTTGCGTATCCACGATCAAGCATCTAAATCGGTTTTCCTTACCAATCTTCGTATCTCCTACATTTGACTATGATCATCATACCGTGCCATTTGATGATATTCTGTTTTCCTAATTGATTCTCAAAGCAAAAAAAATTGCAATAATCAACCCCTAAAGTCCAATTTTGTTGGAAATTCATATGCCTCAAAACTTTTTTGGTTTGGTGCATGGTTTTCATTAAAATATAAGCTGCGCTTACAAAAGGAACTTAAAAGCTTGGTGCCTTAAACCGCATCAACCCTAGGGAAGAAGAGACACAAGTCACGATATTTATCGTAATCATAGATAACATTTTAAGCCGGGTCAAATCCTAATTAATGATACCCAACAAAAAGTAGAAAACAAAAACGCGTTTATATATTCTTCAGGTATCATCATTCTCAGATATATATCAGCGGCTAAAGTCAAAACACTAACACTAGAGGTTTCATCGAGCGGATTAGGAATGTATATAGAGTGAATGATTTTCAATCATGAAATCCTTGATAATGGTTATATTGAAATTATTATTTTTGTATACATATATATTAATTTGATGAATAAGGAAATGGATATTAATTACTTCCTTTTAAACGAGAGCATGATTAATAATAAATCACGTTTTATTTGTCAATGCGCTGGTTAAGTCCAGTGGCGGAGGCAGCATGTTGGCATGGTGGTCAATTGACCCACATGAATTTTTTTAAAACCATGTAAATTATATTGAGGGTTTTAAGTTGACCCTTATCCAAAACAATTATTGATCCTTATTGACCCCGGTAAATTGTTTTTCTGGTTCCCAGTGATTGAGTCTCTCCATTCAAAACCCTTGGTTTTGTTTACCGTCTACGTAAAGAGCATAACCGTTTAACCAATAAAATTTCGTCACGTGTGTTCCACTTCACCTTCTCCTTCCGTGCATTCTTGGCATTGTTTTCAACAGCTGCATTTGAAATGACAAAAATATCCCCTAGCTAGTAGTAGTTGGCTCCTACGGATGCATAAACCATGAAAGCCATGCGCAAACGGAGGGGCTCCACATTTTGCCAATATCCATTTCTTCTAAAGACCATATACGATGCTTTATACAACTCTAATCCTCATATATTTTATTTAATGTTTTTGTTTTATACAACGATCGACCTGATCAAACACATATCTCTTGCTTAATGCCTAGCTCGCTTGTATAAGAGGAGATTATATATATCCATGCAAGTCTTGTCCCTCGTCTCTTTCATCTAAAAATCTCCTCTTATACAAATAATATATAAAGAATAGAAACAAGCATACGTACTGTCGACCAAATAAAAACAAGTATAAAACTTTTTCGGATGAAAAAAATACAAAAGAAACTCACGGATATTTACATTGATTATATAAGTTATTTACTCGATCGGATCATCGGTAATTCCCCGGCTAGCTTTATAGGTAAAATGTACACCATATGTATTAATATATATATAGTGTTGTAGGCGTGACACTGAGTGCGAGAGACAAACATGTTGTTGTTTTGACGAACACATAGGTCAGAGTGTTGAAATGACAATTAACGACAAACAGACAAAAAAAAGTTTTACATTAACACAGTTGACACATAAACGTCAGATTGTAATTGAAAAGGTTGCATTACGACATCGATCTTCAGTAATTCCAGTAGTGTCATTCTTTTCATAACTTGAGGATTTAAATATATAAAAAGGAAATTGAAAAAGAAATGATGATATAAAAATATAGAGAGATACAGGATTGAACAAGAAGACATCATTTGGAGCATGAAGTAACACAAAGCAAAATGATGATATTTTAAAGCTTCTCTCTCCCGTTTCTCTCAAAACGGAGCCACCCACCATTTTTTTTTAATTTCCTTTTTCTGTATCCCCATTCTAAGTTCTAACATAATCATTACTTTCGTTTCATTTACTATTAGTTA